CATTAGGTAGCCGCCATGTAGACTTGTAATTAAGCCGTCTGCATATTTTTCTAACAACCTAAAACAGCCTTACCCGCCTAAGGCCTAGCCACTACCGGGCAGCACTTCCCATGCTTTGTTCTTTTCAGGTTAAACCCCTTATTTGGTCCTTAAACTATTATATATATTTTTGATTTGATCCCTAAACTAAAAAATCATTGATTTGGTCTCTGAACTATTGTATATATCCTAATCTGATCTCTACTGTTTATCAATTTACCTAAAGTTGGTCTTTTCGTGCAAAAAATAGTTGACGTGTTCATTATTTAAAGATGAAAAATAGTAATTTAACGCTCACGTGTTATGTTAATAATAAAGACACATTAGTTAGTTTTTGTATAAAAATACAATTTGGAGTAAATTGATAAACAGTAAGATCAAATCGGAGGTTTATACAATAGTTTAAGAACCAAATCAAGATTTTTTTTAGTTTAAGAATCAAATCAAAGATCTATACAATAGTTTAGGGATTAAAATGGAAATTTAACCTTCTTTGAATGGAAATTGGACCTGTGTCACGTTATACCGGTGCTGCAATTTACTTGTCACGGTATGTGGTTTTATAATATATAAATGATAATTTGAAATTTATTTTAATAAAACGAAATTTCTCTGCACTTCAAGTGTTATATTTGTTTTTTTTTTTTTTTTTAAACATATTTTGCGAGGGACGGATTTCAAGTAAGCCTGCTTAGGGGATGCACCGGCTGACTTTTTGCCAGTAAGCCTTAAGAGTCAGGTGCCAAGTGTTTTATTTATTATGGGAGTCAATTCCTTAATAATTAATGTTGTAAGATAATTTTATTATCTTTCATATTGTATATAACTTATATGTATATTTACTCTTCTATTAATATAGTATTTCTTTTCATTAAAATAAAATAATAATAATAACATTTTGGTTTATTTTCTCCTCTTTCTCTTGTTTTCTTCCTTTTCTAGTTGCTACTGCGTATCCCTCCCCTCCGTGATTAAAGTAGATGATTAAATGTGAGAGTTCCCGTCTTTTTTAAAGGGTTTTTCTTCTCTTTTTTTAGAGTTTTTGATTTCTTTTTCTCAATATTTTTTTTTATTGAAATTCACTATTGTTGAAAGAAGATAATGACTTTAATATAATACTAGTTAAACTCAAATCAATTATTATACTTGTTTAGGCTACCGAAGGCATGATTAAAGAGACAGTCCCTAAGTAAATTTTTTTACCTCAACTAATTTATTTTTTATCTAAATCAATTATTATACTTGTTTAGGCTACCGAAGGCATGATTAAAGAGAGAGTCCCTAAGTAAATTTTTTTACCTCAACTAATTTATTTTTTGTCTAAATCAATTATTATACTTGTTTAGGCTACCGAAGGCATGATTAAAGAGAGAGTCCCAAAGTAAATTTTTTTACCTCAATTAATTTATTTTTTTGCCTAAATCAATTATATTAGAATGTAATTTAATTACTAAATTTCAAATTCGAGTCTATTGTGATATTTTTATATATTTTAAATTATTTAATTTTACATTTTTACATCTTTTATTATTGTAATACCTCTACAGTATTAATCTATTCGGGTTAGTTTTGTAACTCCAAGTGTTTTTTACATATCAATGAAATTCTATTTTTCATTTAAAAAGTGAAAAACATTTCGAACATTTTCAATTCAAGCCGGTCTAAAGACTGAAAATAACATTCTGTTTAATATGAAAAAACAGGATCACCCAAGTCTGAACCTTCTAACAGAAGAATCAAATGTGCAGTTAAGATCAGAAGTAGCAGAGCTTTGCTAAAACATTGATGCTTCCTTCATTAGCTGGTCTTAAATATCCAAATACAAGCTAATCCGCAGGGGACTACCAAATCTGGGGCACCCTTAAGTCTTCCGGTAAGGCTTCTTTTATAAAATTCAAAGAAATTGAGGCTAACTCAGTTTGATGCTTAGTGTAACAATGATCGGCTCCTTCTACCATCTGTAACTTGTGATTAGGTATGGTCTTTGCAAACTCCAATGCATCTTCAACAGGGATTATTTCATCAGCAGTTCCATGGACAGTCAAAACCCTGTGCACAAAATATTGTTTAATAATTATCATCTCTTAAAAATCCAGATAAATGAGCATCAGGAGCAATATAAATAAAATTAGCATGTCGGTATCCACTAAAATGTTAAAACCTTTAATTTGTGATTGGAGGTAGGAGCTCAAACATTAGCATAAGCTAAGCATACAAACATGCTGATACATAAAAAAGCCAAGAATTGGTCTGATGATAAAAATGATACTCAACAAATACTGGAGAAACACTTATGTTGAAAGATATGCGATTCTTATCTTTTTCTTCACATTTTATTTTCTTTTTCTCCTTGAAAAACTCTTTAAAAAATTGAACCCAATAGCAAATATGAACATCTAGAACATTATCTATAACAAGATAAAGGAACAGTTCATCTCTGCAGTGCATAAACCTTTATCAGTCAAATTTTGACATAACAGTTCCTATAAGAGAAATCATGCATCATCAATAACAAATGCTGAACTAAATTTGCTCTTATTCCTAGTATTGATAGATTTTATGCAATAACAAGATTACACAATGTCGTATAAACATTATAAAGGATCTGCTTCCTGACCTGCATTCTTTATCAATCTTAAGGCATGCTTCATGCATATCGGTATTTAAGCGATCAATCAAACTTTCCTCAGTCACGCGATATTGAACACCTCCTAAAAATACAATACAATAATCAAGCGATGAAAATGTGTCTCTTGGAAATAATACAGGTCTAGTGTAAGATCAAGTGTGCAAATGTGCTAGTAAGTCCACCTGCATGTCTGTGTATGTGCATGTGCAAGAGACAGAGAAAGGAAAAGGGGTTAGGGGGTGACTAAGGGCTCTACCCATGTAACTGATGAATTTTTATGCCTGTACTACTTGCACATTTAATACCAACAGCAACAGCAACAACCAACCCCCGTTTTTTTTCTCCCAAAACTCAATATAAGAAAAGATCATGCCAGTGTTAATGCTTTACCACTAACAATGCAGTCAGAGAGAAAATTATAGGTTCTTTAAACGAAAACTAGTTGCAGGCCAAGTGGGCTCACAAAACTTACCAAGCAGCAAAACACGTGCTCTCACACACACACATGCACAGAATAAATAGCTGATGTCTGAATTCAATAAAATTATGGAAACTAATAGCTTCTTCAGCCCAGCCAAGCTTTTTTAGGAATGCTGAACCATGAAATTGTATAAATTATTTATAAATAGTTTTAGAAATCAATAAAATTTACCAAAGTCAGCAGTTTTCTGCAAAAGCTCTGTCAGAAGTTACAAATTTGTAACTTTCAACTTCCAGCAATAAGCTGAAATCAACTCCCAGAAAAGCTAGAAGCTTTTAAGAAAATTGTGTTTGGGCCAGCTTCTACTTCTAAAGATAAGCTCTTCCAGAAGCAGGGCCTAACGGAAACTAAATAAAATTTTACCTCTCTTATTCTTGACTTCCAAAAATCCATCCTTTTTAATTCTTTCCATAAAGTCTTTTCCCAAGCGTTCTTCAATACCCCTCTTCACATTATGGCGGCCAGAAATGTTGACAACTGTATGGATATCATTATACTTTGAAGCATACAAAAGCACCACGTTTCCTCCTGCATATATATTAATTATTCATTCAAGAAAAAAACAATGGTGCAAATATTGTATAGGAACTAATTATTCAATACTGTATCAAAAACTGGTAAAACATACACCCATTTTTAATGAATAGTTCAAACCTATTTACCACTAATCTTTTCCATAAAACTCATGCAAAATGTACTACTTTGATGATATGATTCACCTTTACTATGCCCAAGAATTGCAGTTACTACACGGTTTACACCACAAAAGTGTTGGATAATGGAATGCAAATCATCAGCTTCTCGAAAATAATTACCATACTGAAACTGGCCTTCACTTTCTCTGGAAAGACAGTAATGTTCATGAATTAATGGACACAAACAAAAGAGCGGTGAGTCCAGAGATTGTTCTCAGGATTCCAGAACTGGCACTAAGAATCAGATGATATAAAAGATATTAAACCAAAGAAAAATATTATATCCTGGAGAATAATTATGATATCAGAATTATAAATGGAGTAGCAACCACAAAATATCGACCATAAATTCATTTGTCAAATTCAAGTCAATATTAGGTCCAAGATTTCATTCTATCAATAAGCTAAATCATCCTTTTACATCATACTGAAAATAAGGAAATTAATTAGAAAACCATATGCTACAAATTGCAGTGTTTATAATTTCAAAATGTTGCTTCATAAAATAGTCTATGACACAGAAATCACATGATAATGTGCAAGACTGCAAGGTAATCTCCAATCCATATGCCTAACAATAGGGGAAAATGAAAACATTGATAAAATTTGCAGAGTCAAATTTTACATACTAGCAATCCACTTACCCATTTCCAGCAAAGTCAAAACGAAAGGCAGTGATGCCTTCTTTTTCTAAAGCAGCAGCAAGGTTCACCATAGTTTCGCTTTCCTACAGTACAGTACAGCTTAAGCCAAGTGAGCCTTTACATTGAAAGATAATCAAATTGAAACAGGAAAAACTAAAGTGCCCAACTTTTAGAATGAACAACCTTGGAGGATCGGAAACCATGGCATAAGACTACTATTCCTTTAGACCCAGTATCATGCAACAACCCAACAAGCTTTTCCCCATGTTTGTTTGGAATTACCAGCTTCTGCTGCTGAACCACTGAGACAGAGAAACTAGGAATCAATTCCAGACATTCCTAAGCCTTAACAATAAACAAACATATGTAAATGGGTCATCAAATTTCCGACCTGGGTTTTCGACAGAGGGAGTTTGAGCCATCCTTAAGGGTATTCTTGTTCTTCTGGAGATCCGATTGGATAATGGGTCGAACTCGAAGCGTACCTGCTTGTAAGGAAACTTAAGTGAAGTGGGTGTTTTGGGAATGGATGAATTTAAGAGCACTGGATGATGAAAATTAGAAGCAAGGGTTTCCATTTTGGTTTACTTGATGCAAATTGCAGGGAGCGGAGGGCTCTCCCCCTTTCCCCCTTTACTAAAGTCTCTGAGCAAGGCTCCAAAGATATCTAATCTCCGGCTCCGGCTCCGGCTCCGGCTCCGGCCTCCCCACGCGACAATTTGTGTTCGTCCTTCGTCGAGAAAATTAGACCGTTTGTCTGTTACTTTTACAGACCCAACCCAACTCAAGTTCCTACAAAAATGAAGTCCGGCCCATCTCATGGAAGCATTCTAAATACGAATAACCGTTCGCTTTCCTCATCTCTCTTCTCCCGTATACGAATTGAAATTAAAATTTTTAACTCCAAATCTCAAAATTTTCATCACTTAAAAATGCCTCGTCCATGGTAATATTAATTATTGATTAGCAACTACAACCATCACTTATTTTTATCAACGAAATTAATTAAGGCCTCTATTGGTTCAAATTTGAAGAAATGAGGAGTAAAAATATTTGATTAGTTTAACTTCAACTATTTTGAAAACCAACTCAGACACAAATCAATTTTTGGACTATTGTTGTGTAAAATCCATTTAAGTACATCAGATTTCCATTAATAAAAACGTTTTCTTTCCATGTTCTTGGTAACAGAAAGAATAGATGTAGGCTACATTTTTTGGAATTTTGCCTTCATACTGAAATCTGGCCTCCTTAAAGTACAAAATGTGGTTGGACAGTAAGCAGACAGGAAGACAGCAGGATTGGAGATTTGAACAAACCCTGTATTCTTCCTCGAGTGAATAAAATTTTGCAACGCACCATCCGACCCATATACACCAATGCCATCATTTTGAGCCCTGATTTTGACCATAATGAAATGGTATAATGTGATAATAAGTGAAAGGGGACTTCATATCATACTGTCAAGGCTGCTGCTCAAACATGGAGCTAACAGTTGAAGAAAATTATCAGAAGGAAACCCCACAATGTGTGAGGTGGTTCTTACTTACCCCTATGCTTCAACTGCAGCGACTGCTTCTTCATTAGTGTGGTCAGGTGGGACTATTTCATCTGCAGGTTCTCCATCAGATGCATTTGTCTTTGGTTCCTTCTGTCCCTCAGCTTCAAGTAGCTTTTCTCTAAGTTTCATCAGTAGTTCTTCACATGCACTATCATTTTCAGCCAGAAATTTTTTAAAGGCTTCCCTGCCTTGGATATTTTTACCATTGAAACAAAGGAACGAACCAGACTTGGTAATAAATTTGTGTTTCACAGCTAAATCTATGATTTCAGCTTCCCTAGATATTCCCTTTCCAAACTGAAGTTCAAATTGGGCAGTTTTAAAAGGAGGGGCAAGCTTGTTCTTAACAACCTTTACCTGAACTTGACTTCCAATAGTCTGAAAGTCAGAAAATGACAGAATCCGATCAGAACCCAATATTAATGCATAGCTTATCAAAATATATACCTAGTTAAAGGTAATTAGAGAATCATTATGGGCCAAGAAGACTGCATACAACCCAAAGATTAATATCTATCCAAGTTTGCACAGATTCTACATTAGACAACAAATAAAATGAAGAGTTTGTTTAACAATTAAATACAAATCTAAGCCACCAACTAAGCTGGAGAGTAAGACTGGGAATAGATACCTCTTCTCCCTTCTTGACAAGCCCTGTTCTCCTAACATTTAACCGCACTGAAGCATAGAACTTCAAGGCATTACCACCACAAGTAACTTCAGTTGGCCCACCAAATCCAAATGTAGAAAGTTTTGCCCGCACCTGAAGATACGTATAATCAATTAATAAGCATAATAATTCATTGGTTCCACAGGCTTTAATGATATGCACACCAAAGAAACTGCCCCACAAAAACAGAAAGAACTTCATATTGTAGTGCTGACAGAAATAAACTCCAGATGTTGATTTATTGGCACAACTTGGCTCAGCAAAAGATCCATTAAAGCTCAGGTGGGAACATATTGCATCAAGCAAACAGCCCCCAATTTTAAAGTCCTAAAATAAGCTTCAGGAAATGAAGTGGTAAGAAGTCCCTAGGGACTCTTCCTGGTCAACAGCAGAGCATATATAACCTTTACAGATCTTTAGTAAACTAAGTCAAGAACAGAGTTGCATACAAAATAAGAAAACAATGCTTGAGAAAGTGACAAGGCTAAGATACAGTTCCAACAGTGAAGAAATTTCATTAAGGATCTCAAACTCTCCAGGGATATAGTCAAGAGATATAAAGCATATACCTGATTTATAAAAATTAGAGTAGTTTGAGACAATGATAAAGAATGGCTCAATTTGCGAAGTGCCTGACTCATTAGTCTAGCTTGCATTGCCATGTGAGCATCGCCCATCTCACCATCAAGCTCACCTTTAGGCACGAGTGCAGCCACCTGTTATTAAAGTAACTACTGTATTGTAAGGTCTTTCTCCAAACAAATGATTGAAAAAACAATATTTTATTTTCCATTAGAAAACCCTTAAATTACAAGACAATCATCTAGAAGTTCAATGGAAAAATAAAGACATAAAATGAAAACAGAAATTTCACTGATGAACTCCAACAAGATCTAAAGCATCTTCTCTAGCAGATACCCCATAAAAGTAGAGAGTCACAGCGTGCCTGGATTCCTCAAAGAAGAAGTATTGGGTATGAACCAATAAAGCAACTAACTTACACTGTCAACAACAACGACATCAACAGATCCACTCCGAATTAGGGTATCCACAAGACTAAGAGCTTGTTCACCACAGTCTGGTTGTGAAAGAAGCAAATTCTCTGTGTTTACCCCAATAGCTTCAGCTAAAGCTGGATCCAGAGCATGCTCAGCATCAACAAAAACACAATAACCTGAAAACATACAAAGCCAACAACCTTGACATATCAGGATAATGTACCAAAATAAAATGCATCCAACCTTCTTTGCGAGGGTAGCTTATAATTGAACACATGACAATTATGTTTATATACTTTGCCAACATGAATACTTGATGTCATAATTTATGAGACAGATTACCCTAACTGATATTAATAATGCAATACTGATTTAAAAATATATTATGCAACCTCCTTGTTTCTGTGCTTCAGCAATAACATGTAGAGCAAGAGTTGTTTTCCCTGAAGCCTCTGGTCCAAATATTTCCACAACACGCCCCTGCAAGAATCCAATAAAAAACATCTACAGAATCATTTAACATACAAAATCAGTCAAACTTTTATTTTAAGTCATGCCTTCATGGCACTTGATGAAAGGGAAACAGAAAATTAACTTGCAAACAGAAATTATTAGAGAAAATGGTGTAAGTTGCAATAAAACTTATTCTCTCAACATTCTCAACATCTAACCATTTTAAGTTATTGATTAACGTGTAATAAGTATAACAATAGATGTAGAAGAAGCAACATGTGAAGCTAAATGCACACTTAAGAAAAAACAGAAAGGAACCCATTAACTCAATTTCCAGTTACATACAAATTATGAGGCACAAACAGAAAGTTCCAATCAAATTAAAAAATACAGGGATGGGGGAGGTTGAGTTGAGGGTAGAGCTTGTCAAGTACCTTCGGAAGTCCACCAGTTCCTAGTGCCATATCCAACATAAAAGAACCGGTGGAAATCACAGGAACATTTTTGGGAGAAACAGATCGACCAAGCCACATGATAGATCCCTTTCCAAATGAACTAGTAATCTGATCCAAAGCCTGTTTTAGTGCCAGGTCTTTCTTAGACATATTCTCATCACTGGAGTCACTTTCATCAGATTTCGATTTCCTTCTACCTACAAGTAGATCTAAGTAAGTTTTTCATCAACTCAAAGTAAGTATAACAGAAGAAAACAAAACCAGTCCAAAGATTCATTTATTTCATAAAAATCCATATACAGAATTCTATCTCATGTAAATATTGGGAAAAATTCCAGCTTAAATAGCTTGTGCAAATATTCCAGACAAACAATGTGGCACACTTCAACATAATTACATAACATAGTCCAAACAACCATATAATGATACTTTTTCTTTCTTGTTTTCTTATCAGCATTCAAATTATAGCATGCAACAAAAGTTCTCAGCACCTTTGGAAGAAAAGTTGCGAAACTGGGAAGATGCCCCCATTGCACCACCCCTAAAGACCTGCAAACGAGGAGCAACCCCAGAAGAAAATATCATAAACATAGGCAAAAGCAAAGATTTTTAATCGCAGAAACCCCAAACGGTTACCCACCCACAATTCAAAGTTACAGTTCGTTTACTTTCGCCAATCATTCCCACCAAACCAAACAGTGTACTAACAATCAGAAACTCTAAATAGGGAAGAAAGAAATCATTATGAAGGAAAATGAAACAATGAGTAAAGATTTTAACCTCTGGGGATACTACAGAGCGTTTAAGACTAGAAATACTTCGCAGGAACCTCGCCATGGAAGGCAGCGAAGGACTTCCCTAGAACTGAAAGGAACAAAATAATAATAAAAAAAGGGAAAGAAATGCAGTGGGAAAGTGAAATAATAGATGAGAATATGCTATTCCATTGATGTATAAGTAGGGTTTTAGCGGAAGAAGACGTAAAGGAAGGAGAAGAAGAGCAGAGTAGGTGACTCTGCTTCGAGTATTTTTTAGGGTTTTGGGGTTTTGGTTTCCCTCTCTTTTGGCATTTCAATGCAGTTGGAGAGGAGTGGGCTCAGCGGTCAAAATGAAGGGCCCATTTCATTTCTTTAGTACGAACGTCAAAAAAAATTAATTAAATTCAAAATCGCAATAATCTTCGTTTTCACTTTTCTCCTGCTTCCACGGAGAAAGGATGTCCATAGATTTAATTTTAGGGAAATAATTTTTGTATAATTTAATGTATTATTAAAATAATTAATTTTTTTAATTCATATAAAACCTGTGATATTTAATGTATTTACTTGTTTAATAATATATGTAAGTTATATAAAAAAATGAGACAAAAAAATTATCCATATAGCACCATCATAAATTTTAATGAATTTTATTTTATAAAATTTTTTTGATATTAAAAATGTTAAAATATTTAATAATAATGAAATGATAAATTTAATAAATTTAAACTTTACATTATATTATACACATTTAATAGTTTTAATTGGACATAATAATATTTTTAATACTCAAATATTTGAATTTTTCTTCTTCTTTATATAATTTAATAATTAAATACATTGATGTAAAACACTTATTTCAAAGTAATTATTAAATAAAATCACAATTTTTGTGATAATAGATAGAATAGCCAAAAAGTCATATCCATAATAATAACACTTCATAATAATTCCTTAATTCCTAACGTAGCCTAAATTATTCTTTAAAAAAAAAAAGTGCCTTTCAAGTCAAGTAATAATATTCATAAAATTATTTGAATGCTGTTAAGAAATTTCTCTTTTGTATCAATTAATTCATTAAACATTCCTCCATTTATTTTTCCCTTTTATATAAGGCGAACGACTTTCTCAATTATTTCCCCAACGAGGATTCCCATTTTTCCTCAAGACAGGGATAGGAAAGGATTCATGAAGGTTGATGACTTGATGGGAACAAAACAAGATGGCTCTCCCAACCCTGCCCCATCCCATTCAGCGTCCAGAGGCAAGCGATGCCCCACTGACGCCGCTGCATTCCCTTCACGAAGCGTATGATGCATTCACTTTACAGGATCAGAAGTTTGCCAAGATTATAAGCTAATATCAAATACAAGCCTCAAGAGAAGCCGCCAACTTGATTATAAGCATTATCCTGTCTGAATTGTAAAAACTGAGGCTCGCGTATAACTCCATAGCTCAGCAATAAAACCCAGTGCTTGATCCATGTGTTGATAACACTATAACAGAGACAGGCACCCAACAAGGAGTAACTCATAAATAGAAGAAATACCTCGTCTGCTTTTTGAGGTTCCTTATTAACGCTTTCTTCTCTCCAATTTCCTCTACAGTGTTGGACTCAAAAGTATTGTTACCCTCCAAAACTTCTTAAATTTGAAAAGAGTGAAAATGCTTATAAGCAAGTTGAAGAATAAACTCTTGCCAGACAGATAACAATATGAAAGCGAACAAGATACCACGATAGCATCTAGGAAAAGACTGATATACTTTAGAGTTTCTGTAAACATTCACATAAATAAATAAATCCCGACACATCTTAACTAGGATTTTGTTCTACCAAGCCAAATAGAGAATGGGAAAAAGATCCTTTCCAAACAAATCATTCATAATGTAACAACTAAAAAAATGTAACAACCATAACACCCAAAACTGCAAACCGCTTCTCCCTTCTCCAATAAACATTCCACAGGCCCAAATAAGAGTTTTCTCACACATCAAGAGAGACGATAATGAGATTCTACTGCTGCTTGCATTCTGGTGGCCGTTCACCCTGCTGCCCTGCTGCCCCACCAAATTGAGCTTTTCCACTCTTCTGCAGCATCCAACATGAGTTTTAATCAGCATAGCTTCAACATTTGGGAAAAAGAAGAAAGTAGTGATATGATATCAAATAAACCATGTTATACCTTGTGTGCGCTTGACTGCAACCACATTCATTGGCAAGTTCACAAATCACAAAGAAAAATAAGTATCAACTCAAATTCTAAAAGAGGGGAATCAAAATCAAATACATCACAAAATCTAGTATTCCCTACCTTCTTTGTGGTCTTGCGTTCTTCTTCATCCTCTTCATCTTCATCATCATCATCATCTTCTTCTTCATCTTCATCATCATCATCATCGAAGCCCTCATCATCATCGTCATCATCTTCAATTTCTAAATCATCACCTTGAATGGCCTCCCCCGTAAACCAAGAGACAGCATGAGGAATGATTTTATCACGAATAGTAGAGCTGCACCGACAGTGAATGAATACATAGTGTGAAGACTATAGAATATCAAGTAATGGAAACATGAACTTTAAAGACATGCTTGTGGAGCTAATAGAAAGCATCTGTATGAACGGGACAAACCCAATATCATAGTCTTGTTCCATTTGATTTTGCAGCTCCTCAGCCTGTTCAAGAAAGTTGGAAAATAAACAAGCATATGAATACATAAAGCAAACAACAGAATCAACTAGCACCCATATTTATTCAGATAAAATAATGCAAGCCAGTACAGTGTCCTCATCAAGGTCTTCATCATCATCTGGAACTTGTGGTGGGCTGAAGAAGTTGAAAAAACTTTCACAATCTTCAGTTTTTGTGATTGGCTTCGCATTCTTTGATCCCTTCTTAGGTTTCTTCTTAAGGAGCTTTTGTGTTAAGCATTTTCCAGGATACCATTCTATCTCCGTCCTACAGAAGATAAAGTGTTTAGGATTTTAATCAACAAATGCAATAAATAAATTACCTAAAAAATAATCAAAGAAATTACCCTATGGCCTTCTCGAGAATTGGCTCATCTTCATCAATCATGTGATATGTCTTTGTCAAGACAGTGTTCTTGAAATAAGGATTGGCATCAAAGAATAACTCAAGCTTGAATCCTTTGGGTTCTTCTATACGACACCACTTGATATCCTTAAGATATTTGAGAGCTCCTTCATCACGCTCAGTTACCTGATTAAAAAGTCAAAATAGAAAAGCTGTAAAAACATTATTTGCAATCTAGAAGACCCAATAAACCAGAATCCATTCATCCAACAACTGACCTCCTCTGTTAGGACTTCATTATTCTTCATTGCCATTAGCCAAAAACCCGGCACTCCTTTCTCTGCAAGAAGTATCTTATAAACATTTACCAAACATATGACTGGAAGAGCAAAAGGAGTAAGACAAGCTGAATAAGAAAGGTCATACCATCAGCTGTTTTACCCTCTACTTGTTCAGTAGAAGTTTCTTCAGTGACTCCTTCAACTTCAGTAACACCATTCACAATCTCATACCGCTGCATATGTTAAGCATCATGATCAATCACGCTGAATTAAACGTATAGGCGCAGGAAAAATTCTCCAAAAGGATGTAATATGCATAGCTTTCTTCCTTGAAAGAAGGTAATAAGCTATATTGTAGAAATAATTTATAAATCATCTGAAAGAGCAAGCAAAATATTAAGGGACACAAGTCCTCTTCACTGGATGGCAAATTTGGATCAATCAAAACCTTGGTGTACAGAGGCTGATATAGTTTTTGATATTTTGCCTCAAGGGCAGCTCGTTCCTCAAAAAACTTGGCCTCTAACTCATCATGCTGGCCCTGTAAATGTTGAGAAATGTAACACATGTCAAAATAACGCATGACTTGAAATTCTATGTACATTTATATATGGGTTTGAATCCAGCATATCATGTCTTGAACCCAATGATTTGTAAATCTCATATAAGGCCATTGATTTCATAACAAAAATGGGAACAGAAAAGGCAAAACATCAAAGGATTTTAAACAAACAATGAATCTTTAGTACAATACAGGAAACGCTAAAATCTTCGGTACACTAATATCTAAAAAATAAAGACCTTCAAAAAAATGGCAATAATAAGCATCAATGGGGGAAACATTCTCTATCAGAAGAAGAACATCTCCATAATTCAAACGTTATAATGAGCATACATAACCAAACAACACAAACTGTAAGCATATCAACACAGTTGACATCTAAACCCCCAAAAAAAAAAAAAAAAAAATCTTCACAACTCAGCTCTTGGCTAGAAAAACTTGCCTGGATCTCTCTGAGAAACTCAACTCGCTTGCGGACATTAGGAGACAGATTATCAAGAACATCAGAATGTTGCCCAGCCAGGTTCTGAAGCTTATTCTGCAAACGAAAAAAAGAAATATTAACACCATCAGCCAAAGCAACCAAATCACTTCAGCTTTAAAGCTGAAGCACATCCTACTAATAAACAAAACAACTTCCTAGCAACAAAGGAATTCTCTTTGGTTGCTATCAAAGCTAAAAAACCCATTTCCCTCACCACTGACCTTCAGAGCATTAACCAACCCAGCTCGATCCCCTTGGTTGAGGGCTGTACACAACACAAACAAGAAAAAAGAAATTAACAACCCGAACACTTCGAGAAGCACAGAAACAACAACTGATTACTGAAAGAGGAGAGATTAGGGTTAGGGTTTAGGAGATTAAGGTTACCAGCACCAAGATCGGCCATGGGGAAGCTATCCTTATCTCCGCTCATTGTGATTTCGTTGAGAGAGGTTTGGGTGGAGGAGAAGAGAGGCTAAACCCTAACTGGCGACTCTGGAGCAGACGAAGAGAGAAAAGGGGAAAGGGGATGAGAAATGCGATGGCGTTTGAGGTTTATATCGCGACGTGCCTAGCTCAAATGCTCCCCTCGCAATTCAAAAAAAAAAAAAACCTAGACACACAATGCTGCTTTTACTAGGCGGCACCGTTACTCTTATTTCTCTTTCACTTTTGCCTCCATGTTTTTTAGGGTTTTATTTTGAGACAGAAAAATTTGTATCCATCGCCTTACACTCTACTTTTTCAAAAT